GATCAGCTCGCCCTGCACCTCCAGGTTCTCCTCAAATCCTGAGGACGAGAGGGACAAGACTTGATATCAACTGAGCTGCTCAAAGTCTGAACATACAGACAATCATCAGGGGGCATAGAAAAAAAACCATGAGGGACTATGTCTATTTGAAAATGTTGTTAGTCATTAAATCAAATTAAAACATCTGGGAAAGAAAATGCAACACATCTGAAAATGCTTTATGTTTACATATTTTTAAAGACACATTTTATAAATTCTAATAAGAACAAATGTAATTTTTAAGGACAGTTTCTTACCCTCCATCATGGCGAGATGCATGGCATCATTAGCTCTCTTAGGGACACCGAGCATCACCTCCAAACCATCTTTAATCTCCCCTTTTCCCTCCTCACAACATGACAGTAACTCCTGCAGAGCGAGGGGAGGATATCAGATATAATGAGGGGGTGAAACAGAGCAGGAAAGCATTAGTTATCTAAACCTAAACTTTGATGCTGTGTCTGTGTACCAACCTTAAGCAGTAGTTGGTACTTGGTGATCCTCTGGACCGGTTTAATGAGGTAGGAGGAGATGGAGTTAGCCAGTCCACGTTTCTGCTGAATCTCCTGTTTATACACAGACAGAACATTACAGGAAATCCTAAAATAGTTCAACATTACAGCAATTGTCATAACTGTGAAATGTTCAATAGATGGGAATCTAAACAGTTTCATGACCAAACAGCACCACCTAGTGACACAGGAGGTGAGTCTCACAATCATCCCCATCTCCAGCTGTAGGAGGGAAATTAAAAAGCAGCAGCTGCACACAAACAATTTCCACTCCAAGTCTAAGCAATCTGCCTGACAGAGTACTTACTGGAGTGCTAAATTAAAATGATAAATTAGACCCCTGTTTATCTCCATGTTCCACAGTAGGCATCCATCATAAAGATGTCCCTGTATCAAGCGTTTGTTGGGTTATCTGCTGCTTTTTAAACTGAAGCATCACAATGAGCATGATATTATACTGCTTCAGGTGTTACTGAAGGCATCCGTTTATTATCCTACAACTTACAGGAGCAAGCATTTACAGAAGGGGATACATTGTGTATAAACCTTTTTGTTAAGAAGCTTTAGAGAAGCACAGATTGGGTCAGTTTACTACGAGGTGGTTGAAAGAGACAATGATGTTAGCTGTTGGATGGATGAGTTGAAATTATGTAAATGGCTCTGTGGTAGAATGATGATGGGATTACTCACGTCGAAGAAGGTGCCGGCATGTTCCAGTATGAGCTGACTGGAGTCCGGTTTGTTCTTACAGTAATCAACATAAATGTGGAACTTATCAGCCTGGAAAACAGGGGGGGAGGGGAGATAAGGTTTTACACGGTCATTTTTGTATGCTCTATTCAAGCTTAAACCCATATTAGGACTTTTAGGGACACATATTGGTTTGACAACATGTGGAATGAAGGCCGACTCTCACCCAGGTGACGAAGCAGTGACCCACATCCTCTGGAAGCTGCTCATAGTTCACCAGCTCCTTCAGGAAAATACTGCAAACACATACACACATGGCAAAAGATCATAAAGTAGACTTTTTTCTAACATGGATCAGCTGCAGAAAACCCTAATAATCGACACAGTCCAAATACAAAGTGACTGGAGGGAATAATCTGGCTTTCTTTGACAGTAAAACAAAATGTCCAGACCACTAAGAATGTATTTTTTCCCCAAAAGAACAAGCAGGTTAAAAGCTCCTTTAAGATCTAAATGGAGGCAATGAGTACAAGATAATGTTTCTCTGAGGAACCATGGAACCACAAAGCATCAGAAACAAAGAGGTTCCTCAGGGAAACTCCAGGAGAACATGAGCTGTCTTTGAAGGAACACCTCAAAGATGCTTCTTCAGCTCCCCTTCAGGTAACATATCAGAAGAAGAAAAAAGTTACCCTTGGGAGTTTTTAAAGCTTTGACAATGAAGTGCATTTCCAAGGCTTAGAATCAAAGCATATCCAGCAACAGGCCAGGGTTTTTGCTATGCTTGTATCTTCACACGTTGTTTCAGAAAAGCCTCGGTGGTAAACATGGACCACGTATAGCACACTGGATTATATTACATAAACATTGTATGTGTCTCTCACTTGTTGTGGAAGTCGCAGATAGCCTGCATGTTGCCGAAGACGATGTGCTCCTTGTTAGCGATGGCGGCAGGAACCTCCTCCACGCCGTTGGTCATCTCCCACAGGTAGTTCTGACAGCGAGACAGGCAGACAGGTAAGGTAGACAGGAAAATATTTGTTGTTTCAAAACAGAATCGGACAAGCAGAACTGTTTCCATACCTCTAGACACTCTTGGAGGTCTTTGACGTAGGTCTTCTCTGTCTGCAGCAGCTCTGCCATGATGAACCTGAGACAAGAAAAACATTTAGAGGGAAACTTCACGAGGATCAGCTGGCATGAATTATGCATTAGGTTCTTTTTTTTATATAGTGGTCAGATGAGTATACAGATGTTCCTCTGTTCTTCGTAAAATGTCAAGAGAAAACCATTTCAGACGCTTCAGAGAAGTAAATTGTACTTAATTATGTTTTCTTTAATGTCTTTGAAAATAGGAATTTTGGAAGACTATAGGAAGCAGATGATGACTATTATAACAACAGATTGAGAAGACACTCATTTGGGACTAGATATGAATTCATTTAGTTAAATTGGGTACATTACTGTATCATAGGGTTGCAAAGGGGCGAAACATTTCCGGTAAATTTCCGGAAAGTTTCCGGAGAGTTTCAATGGGAAGTTAAGCTGGGGAATTTTGGAAATATTCGATGCAAAATTAGACAAAAAACATGACATTTCAACAGATTTTTTAAGTGGAACCAAACAAGTTTTAATTATTTTATTGAACAATTATTTGTTTCATTGAAGAACGAAAACAGGAATGTTGAGTTAAATATTACTCATCTGTGCATGTGATGGAGGAATGCACAGTGCCTGGTCTCAATAGCCATGCAGTAAGCAGTGTCCTATGGAATGGATATTAAAGTGTAATTGAATGGCATCTGTTTGTTTGAGTCAAGATTATTCTAAAATATACTTTCCCCAATTATATTTAAGTTCCCTATGAAGAGCCAACCTTCAATTTTGAAAATTCCCAGTTTATTCCCATAAATTCCCGTTAATTCCTGTTAATTCCCATGGAAAGTTTCCATCTTTGAAAATTCCCGGAATTTTGCAACCCTACTACATCATGTTACATGCTCCATGTGTTTCAGGTTTGGGCCATGCTGCACAGTAGGTCTATTATTTTACAAACCAAAACTTGGACGCTTAAATTAAAATAGCATTTCTTATACCTTACATGTGTCACAGTTTTGAAGATATTTTTGACAAGTTCTGATTGTGTAAAGACTTTTTTCTCTGTCATGCTCTTCCTAACTTTGTTCCTGCACTCACTCTTTCTTCCTGGCAGACTTCCTCTTCTCCTCGTTGACCTCGGGGTTGGGGTCACGCAGTTTGACCTCGGGGTCGTCTGTCAGGCTGGCAGGAATAATATCCAACTCCAAGTCTTTATTGTCCTGCGTAAAGGAACATACATATATATTTTAATCAATCATCTGAAACAAACATATGGAGTAAAAGGGAAGAAACTACCGTGTAATGAGTGTGTACCTCAGAGCTGACCCCCAGGCTTCTCTCCAGGCTCTCCTGGTATTTGCCCATGCGCAGGGAGAAGTCTCGGTATCGGCGGTCCACCGTGCTGACCCAGCGCTTCAGCTCCGACACGTGGGCGTGGCCTTTCTCCACCAGGTTGTCCGCTAACTGGATCAGAAGCTTCACCTTCTCCTTGGTTTGCTGCCGGAAGTAAACACACAAACACTGATTAGACACTGCAGGATTTACTGATGTTCTGAGTCTCCTTCTGACGGCAAGTAAAACAGACTAAACCCTGTTTTAGTGTGTGACATCACTCATTTAGCTTTTTGTATATAGGGTGATATATTATTACCTGTTCATTTCATACATGAATTTAGAATATTGGATTTAATTGACTTTTTTCTCATTTTTTAAAATTCAAAATCGAATTGGTCCCAGAAAGAACTTGCATGTCTTATTTAGACTAACACAAGTTTTTAAAGGGCATCACTAACATTGAGTCTTAATATGTACAAGGAGATGCAGTTACACTAGAGATACCGTTTGTAAATATGACTTCTACTTGATTGATGTTCCCAGCAGTCCCTTAGGCTCAACAATAAATATCTTTAACACACACACACACACACACACACACACACACACACACACACACACACACACACACACACACACACACACACACACACACACACACACACACACACACACAGCGTACCTTGGCATTGAGTCTGAAGTGATGGTAGTCGTTGAGGAGTTGCTGTGTTTCCTCGCTGCATTCACCAGGTGATGTGTGTGTTGCCAGGTAAACTTCACCCGTCTCTTGGATCCAATCCAACGCCTGCGCACACACAGACACACATAAATAAATAAAGTTAATCTCCCATCTCAGTTTATTCCCTACTTACTGTAACTAACGTCCTGATAAATAAACAAGATGTCTCTTTAGTGCTGCTCATTTCCCCAAAGTCAAAATCCAGCCAGAACTTTTTCATTTTGTTTCACTAAAGTACATAAACACACTCATACACTCTCACACACTGACCTGTTTGGCACTGCGTTCAAACACCAAGTACTGCTGACATTGGTCCAGCCTTCGCTTCTTCAACGTCCAGAAGTGAAGGACTCGGTTCTCTCGCTGCAGCAGCTCATTCAGAATGGCTGCACAACAAAGAAAACACACCACAATTAATTATTGAATGAACACTTTCTCCATAATCCTAAAATATTCTCCCAGATTCCAAACTCAACTGTGTACATAGGTCAAATAATTAAACAAAATGCATCTTATTAAATAAAGTCCAGACAAAAAAACCAATATGTTTATCTGCCAGTGCAACATTCAAAAAGTAGCATTACATAGAGATTTAAACTGTTATAGAAACTGCAGCAGTATTTATTTTGAGGTGTATCATCATCAGCAGAACTGACCTTTGACCTGCTGTTCGGGCCCTCTGGTGTGACCGGAGGCTCCGGGCATGCTCACATTGTTCCTGTGGATGTACTTCAGAAACACCTCTGCGTTCCTCCGGGCCAGAGTGCACGCCTGCAGCACAGAGACATGGTGCTTATACCAACAGACTCAAACAATACAAACACACTCCTGACACAACTTCATTTTCACTTTAGTAAGTTCAATTACTAGTGGTACTATTACCACTGCAAAACACAACAGCTTTCACACATGAGCTTTGTAAGCCTGTTTGGCTCTGTCTCATTAGGCAAGTGTAATATTGTATGATGTATATTGAATCCTATGTTTGTATTTCTTTAGTTGTAGTTTGGTGTATTCCAACCTTTTCTGTATACTGTATATTCTACAGATAATTTGATACTATAGATATATATATCTTTCTACTGTTGATATAAATCTATTAACGTATCAGTCATTGTATTGCTATGGAACTGAACAAGTAACCAATATTTTATCTAATCTAAAAGTGTCCAAAACAATTATTAAAATATGTATTTATCACCAGGTCTTTTACAGATTAGTTTGGTATAAAAACCTTTATTAAGTTTGTAAAAGTTATACATTTGTAAAAAAATAAATTGGGTTGGATATTTCAACTATATCTGTCTTATTTTGCAGGTGCTTCTGCTCCACCCTGTTTTCTGACGTGCGATAAGAGAGATGAATCACCTTGAGGAAGGCTTCTTTCTGCTCCAGGTGTTTGCTGATCAGAGGGAGGAGGTGTTCGCAGTCTGCAGACAGCCCCAGTTTATCATGGCTGCCGCACCAGTCCTCATCCCGACGATACTCCTGCTCCAGACTCTCCAACACACTGCACACCTGCACAGACACACAGAGATGGTTACACACCCCTCCTCCAAACTCAGAGAGCCGTGTGAGGTGTGTGTTGGACATGTACCTGTTCAGATGTCTTGTAAAAAGCCACCGAGGCATTGACCAGCTTCAGCCGGTCCTCCATCTTCAGCATCAGTTGCTGCCAGTGGACGGCCACTTTCTCAGCACAGCCTCTGATGGCCTCCGGATCGTAGTGACCGGCCTGAAGCATGATCTGGAGAGAGGAAGAGGAGAGAGATAATGCATTTGAGGTCAAGAGTCATTCATGGTCAGGAGGAACATCGGCACACAAAGATAAATACAAGATAAAGGGCAGAGAAAGTCTTAGTTGTTGAATATTCGAAATACTTTAAATATTCAATTAAACAGTTGAAAGAAACATGCATTTACCTCAGCTTTTTGCTGGACTTGCAAAGCACTCTGATGTGTCTTCTGGAGAGAATTAGCATGAAAGAGAGACTGGAGGAGGAGGAGGAGGAGGATGAAAGAGAAAAGAGGAGAAAAGATTATTATCATTTAAAATCACTGACTCATTAGTTCAAATAAACTTTAAAAATTCACACACACACACACACACACACACACACACACACACACACACACACACACACACACACACACATACATGCACACACAAAGGCGTATGTTTGAAAATGTCTGTGTCTGTATGCGTTGGCATCTGTTCCTCTTCAAAATCAATGCAGAATCAAATAACTATTTAGGCAAGCCCTGTGCAGAAACAGATGACAAAGTGTGTGTGTGTGTGTGTGTGTGTGTGTGTGTGTGTGTGTGTGTGTGTGTGTGTGTGTGTGTGTGTGTGTGTGTGTGTGTACCTCTATAGCCATCTGGAACTGCTCATGTTCCCTCTGCAGCTGCTCGGCCTCAGACAGAGAGCTGGCGTTCACCATGCTGGCGTTCAACATGGACTCACCATTACGAATCCAACCCAACACCTAGAGAGAGACGGGGAGAAATTCAAAGTCATCACAAAAGCAAAAAAAAAGTCTGCAAATCTTAGTATGACAGGATAGTTATCATATCTACGAATGCTGTGGTAGGGACATTTCCCTCGTTGTGTCTCACATAAAAATGCAGAAATAAGTACATTGGTTGAAAATGCGACAGGAAAAACATAGTGTTACAAAGAGCATTAAGGATTATTAGCACAATACATGTGTTATATATGTTTTGATTAGATGTAGGGAGGATATCATAGGTGTCAAAGTTTTCATTCTGTATCTCGACCCTTCAGAAAACTGTAGCATGTTTATGTACCATTTTTCTCCACATATTTAGGCCGGTCTAGGAAAATAAATACCCCATACTGACTGAGGGTAGTTTAAAATATGTGCAGTAGATGGCAGCATCATCTGCCAGAGATACAGAAGACGAAGAGTCTACAAATTCCACACTCTTTAATTTTTAACACCATATTTAAAAGTGTAATAAAAAAAGAAAATGTTGAAAATGTCACTATGTGCCTGCAGTTATATTTGCACCTTCATGCATAAGATACAAAATATTATTCCAGACATGATTTACATTGCGCCCGTTGTTGAGTGTTTGTAGGGGAATTCTATGGACAGATTGGAGTAAGAAATACATGGGGTGCAGCAGGAGAGGTGTGTGTGTTTGTTTGTGTGTGTGTTATTAGCACATTGCCATCAACCTCATAAATTATTCAGCTGTATCCATCTGCAGCTGCAGCGTGCTTCCTGTCTCTACACACATCATGTCAACGTTCACATTGACATCGGCAGAAGCTTCTTCACCAAAAACAAAATACATCTCCCTTGGCTTATTGAAGCAAGAGCTGGGTGGTGTTCTTGTCATTTTTCCAACATGGAAAAGTCATTCCGAAGTGAAATTGTTCATCCTGCCACATTTAAGCACTCTATTATTTCAATTTGACGATATTCTAGTGTTCTCTGGCTTAGCATCAGAAAACTGCTGTACTATTTTGTAGATAAATATGCTTAAACAACATAACTTTTCAAATATCGCTTAAAGAAAGTGAAATACGTGATAACTATTGCTGATTAAAAAGAACATTTGAGAAAAAAAATGGTATAAGCAGCAGCCAGTGATGATTTTTTTTAGAGAATTTCTTCATATATTTCAGTGATCGTGCGTGTGTTTGCATTTACCTGTTTGACCTCGCCCTGTAGGTGGCGCAGCTGCAGGATCTGCTCCAGCCGGGTGTGTGTGTGTTGCGCCGCGAGCTCCACCTCCTGCTGCTTCTCATGCAGGAACTCCAGCAGCTCCTGGACCTGAGAGGCCAAGTCCATGTCCTTCTCCCCCGTCAGCTCGATCCCTGACACACACACAGCTGTGATTGTCACATTTTTCCTACGTTATCTCAAACCAAAACGTTTTATGCTCAAATTAAAGATGAGGACATGTTGTGGATGATCTACTGTATTTAGTATTAAAACTAATTCTGTAACTCTGCTCTGTAAAGACATGGACTCATCCCTCAGTGTACATCAACATATAACCGTCTAAAATGACACTTTTAGATTACTTTTGATATGTGTGTGTATAAAACTCTTAATTCTAAACTAGGCTGGACGTGTCCCAACTCCAGCTGTGTACTCATCTCACTTTGGCAAAGAAAGAAGGTCAACATTTCCCCAAAAAAAAAAAAATACTCTATCAATTACATACATTTAAATCACATTCTAAAATAACTTGCATACAAATTGAATCATAAGCCCTAACTAACCGCTCCTGCATCTCTTATATTGGTGCAAAATATCCTAAATTGGTGCAGAAGCATACAATAAATAATAGTGACAAACATTATAAAAAAGTTATTGATATAAGTAAATATTATTTCCCATTGCAAATTATTTTGCATCTGATTCCTGTATATATATAATCTTATTTTTACTTAGAGGTGCAGATATTTTATACGTTGAAGGCAGTGAGTAAAAGAGAAATATGTGTGTCTGTACTCAGTCTGTAAAACTGTTAATGCCCTATTTGTGGTGTGTGTGTGTGTGTGTGTGTGTGTGTGTGTGTGTGTGTGTGTGTGTGTGTGTGTGTGTGTGTGTGTGTGTGTGTGGTGGCTGACAGAGATTTAACACTCCAGGGGGCAGTGTGACTGAGGCGCTGACCTCCACATATTCACAAACATCACACACAGTAAGAGGATTGGGCTGTGACGATTTTTTAACCTAATTCTCTCCCTGTTACACACAACATGCTTTCCTTTGGGATCACAGTTCATAATGCAGCCAAAGCATCAGGCTCTCTCTCTCCTTCATTATACAGTGTGCAGCTGTAAATCCAGATGTGAGCCGGCTCAGCGGGCAACCGGATCTGAAGCGCAGTGTGAATGCAAATGCCTCCCTTAAAGCGATAAAATAATATTACTGCCTTATTGTAATGTATGTTAAGCGCCACAAAATCTCCCACACACTTAAGATGCATAATGATTCCATGTGTGAAATCAAGTGCTTGACAAAAAAGGGAATGATGGGAAATGATCTATTGGAGCTAATTTAAAAGCACACATCAGAGCTCGTTTGGCTTTTCCTTTTGTAATCTTCTGTCTCTATCATTCTTATTTCCCTTCTCACATGGCAAGGTGTGTGTGTGTGTGTGTGTGTGTGTGTGTGTGTGTGTGTGTGTGTGTGTGTGTGTGTGTGTGTGTGTGTGTGTGTGTGTGTGTGTGTGTGTGTTTGAAAGTGTGTGTGTGTGTGTGTGTGTG